TTTTTTCCATCTTACAAGAAAATGTCTGGATCTTAAATAACCAGTTCTTTATACCTCGCTACTTATAAAATGAAAAGAAATAAGTGCTTAAATTAAACGTCTGCTCTCTGTATTGAAAAGGGTCTGGCAACTGAAATTTAATATCCTGCGGAACTTGGATTTTGTCCCATATGAAATACAATCCTATAAGTTAGTATACAACTTTGATATTTAAATAAAGAACGTAATATTAACATAAACATCCACATTTATGGAGCTTTATTAGTCGATTACTCCGTCTTTATACAGCACCAGAGTACAACAGATTTCTTGTTTACGCATGCGTTAGAGCCCGCATGCGTGGGGCGATAGTTCTTTTCCTCGTCGCGCTTTAGGCTTTCAATTGAATCCAATGTGTGCTTTTGACGTAGGGACTACCCTATGGTGTATACAAACGAGTTATTGACTAATGACACTACGCCTTAAACAAATGAAATTTAAGACTGTAACGAAAGTTCTGAAGTAACACACTAGATAAAAACTACGCGAATAATAACTTGAGAAACTAAAAATTAAAAGGGAACATACCTCACTTTCTTTTGGGTGAATCGATGACCTAGGATCGCATGGTGGAAGTGTTGGCAAACCTTTATCTAATTTTGTTCTTGGTCCGTCAGTTACTTAAATAAAAGACTATTGTGTAGAAGACAAAGTAGTTTAGACTAAAAAGATTTTAGTACATGTACATATGAACAACGTTCATGGAAGAAATGTTGAGTATTGAATATTGATTTAAGTAGCACTCAGACGGCAGACAGTAAATTGTACGTATCGGTTCGAATGTGATTTCATTTCAATATACGCTCGGCCTCGGAGTGCCGAGTGCGTTCATCTGTATTAAAGTGTACTTCAGAAATTCACAACTTTTAACGTACGTACAAAAATGTAGTTAGAAATTTAATAATTTATTGTACCATTTAACGGTTTTTAGCAATTTGATGTATTTATTTCTATCTGTCTAGAAGGTATGTTACCTTTAAGCTTTTGTTATCTTATTTTTGGCCTAAATGAATCAATTAGTTTGGATAACTTAGCAATTTCAATTCATTCTTGTTTTAAAATTCAATAACAGCTTTTTGTTTTCAATCATTGCATTATACGACAAGTATTTATGCATAAGAATACAAATCGCGTCCAAACGTATCATATTGCAAGGATTTCCCGGGAAAAAGAAGTCAAAGACATTTATCATAACGACGTACGTGATGCGTAGACATATTTCTTCACGCAGTTTTTCTTGTGAAAATGATCCACTTATTATCCAGCTGTTATCCTATAACATGAGAACGTCAGCTTTGTTTTTGTGGCTACTACGGAATTTATTATATGAAAACTGTAAAAATTAGCAACAATCCTTATTTATGTTTATATTTTTTTATGACAAATAAGATTTTAAATTATTTAAACTTTCTTGAGACATCTTTAGGCTAGTAAACGATGGGCTGCGTCCGCGAAATAATACCAATCTCACACACCCTGATGAAGCTCTAAATAAAATATGAATCTATACTTATATTATAAAGCGGAAGAGTTTGTTTAAACGCTCTGAGGAATTACTGGTCGGATTTGATTTTTTTTTTGTTTGATAGTCCATTTATAAAGGAAGGCTTTAAGCTATATAACATTACACTGCGACCAATAGTTTTTTTTTCAATTCCGCGCGGACAGAGTCGCGGGCGATAGTTAGTTAAATATAAAGTCGAAAAATAAATAAAATCTAGACCATATAATCTTTTCAACTTTGTAATAGTCAGAGCGCTAGATGAAACTAATGCTCAAATACAAAAACATATTCTCCAATAAACAATACGATTAGCTTATAAAAATTGTTTTCAAATACTCAAATTTATAACTTTGAAACGTTTCGCCTGATAGATGGGCTTTTATTGGAATATTTACAACTGTGTAAATTATTAACAACTCTTTGTATGATTTAGATTCCAAATTAATCGTTTATCGAAAATATATCAATTGATTTTTACGTATTCACGTGTTTATATTATGAATGTGTTTAAAAGATTTTTTTTAGTATACTAGCTGTCGCTCGCGACTCCGTCCGCGTGGATATATAAAAATACTTACTTAATGTAGCCCACCTATCCATCCATCCACATCACATCCATCTAAACATTCGCATTTATAATAATAGTAAGTTAAATAAAAAGCAGCTCTACAAGGTATAAATTCGAAAAAAAAATGAACAAATAGTATCCTATGTCCGTCTCTTGGCTCTAAGCTACCTCCTCACCAATTTTTAGCGATATCGGTAAAGCCGTTCTTGAGTTATAAATAGTGTAACTAACACAACTTTCTTTTATATATATAGATTTATTATATGTGGGATTTTTGAAGACAGGGTCTGGCTGGAGTAGTACATTTTTGAGTTATGGAAAGTTAAGCCTATACTTAAGTTTATACTATTACTTTTAGACATTATTAGTTAGAATCCTTTGACGCGAATGACGTGCTTTCGTTACGAAGTCCAGTGTCAGAATGAATGGTGAGGGGGCACAAACGTCGATATTTTAGTAAGGCTAGTGTTGAGTCAATACACTGACACATTTTCGGATTTACTTCCTATCGATACCAAGATTTTTTTTATTGGAGAAAGTATAGTCCAAAGTAATAGATCATTTTTCCTTAGCACTTTATTTAGAAACTAATCCGTGACCGAAAGTCAAACTGAACCAATTCCTTTTACTAATGCTTTGGCGACTTAGTTTTTTTCATGCTGGAAAGTCAATCTAAAACGATTTGAATAATTTGCATGCAAATCGAATTTCGAAAGCAATTCAATGGAACATTTGTGGTAAGACTTAACTGGTTATTATCTTTTGACTTACGAGTACTCTGTGAAGATTTATGATTGAGAAATTCATCAGTTTTCAATTAAAATGGAACACCGGTGATTATTCAATTTCAATCATATTGTTTATTTAGAATTGATAAACAGTAAATAACTGGAATCTACACTATAAAATTATATAGAGGAAAGATTTGTTTGTTAGCATTGAATATACTAAGAAACTACTAAAGTGATATCCTCAGGTTACATCTGTATTTTTTTAATTCCGCGAGGACAAAGTCTAGTAGACAAAGTAGCTCAACTGCTAAAAACCAAAAATATAGTAAAAGGTAAAACATCGGGTTGTCTAATCGTTAGTTTCTGAGACCAAACTTCCTGTGTACGTCATCCTACTCATTATCTCTGACTAAACAGTAACTAATTATTTTTTAAACGGGAATTTGTATTCAGAAACCAACGATAAATAATTTAAGCTGTACATTGAAAATTATCAAAGGTTACAAAAAAGGTTAGTTACCAGTTTGTAATCGTACTAGGAATATTATTATGAGAGGATGCATGGAAAGGGAAATATTTTCTTTCTGTGCATCCTCTCCTGCGTCGATTAAAGGTAGGTAACGCATATGTAATTGCGTATGTCTATGGGCGACTGTCACTTCGCTATTTCAGCGATTTTAGGTGACCGCTCCCTCATTTGCCACCTTTTGATATAAAAAAAAATTATAAACTATCTGGAAATAGTAAATAACCCAACGAATTTTATCCGCTGTTTTCAATTTCTATTTAGTTATTCTTCATTTTTCATTCAGATTTTTATCACGACAACCATATTGCGTTAAGGTGTACAAAGTAGGAGTAAAATTGATCCTCTGTTGGCAGACGACACGCTTACAGTAAATTCAATTTACTGATCGAGGTATATCATCCGACACTTCTTAATAATATTTCGACACAATATGATGGAAACTGATTTTTTTCCTTACGAAATATACACATTTAGTACATTTTCCGTCTTAGGAACTTGACATATTCAACGAGAAATATTTTATATCACATCTATTTATGATTCAAGAGCTTTGAGTAGGTTGTATTTGTAAAAGACTGAAGTGCTTTAAAGCGCTTTCTCGGAGACCACTAGCAAATAATGATTTTGAGAATCTTGAAAAATCTCAACCGTTCCTTAAGAAGCCGAGTCTTAATACTTTCATCATCAGCTCAATATACGTCCCCACCGAGGGGCTCGGAGCCTACCCTAATTTAAGGGTGATTAGGCCATAGTCAACCACGCTGGCCAAGTGCGGGTCGGTTGACTTCACACATATCTTTGAATTTGTTTTCAGATATGTTCAGGTTGCATCACGATGTTTTCCTTCACCGTAAGAGCATCGGATAAATGTACATATGTTAATCGGAAATCGAAAAAACACATTGGTACATGGCGGGATTCGAACCCAGGACCTGCAGATTGCAAGTCGAGTGCTTGACCCCTGAGCCATCGACGCTCTTTAAAATAATTAATTACTTAATACTTTAGCATAATTTATTAATTTCTATTTGTCTATATAATACAGATAAAAACAAAATATTCATCATTATCTTTGTCTCATTCTCTTAGAACTAAAAAAAGGACAATGAGACATCTGATTAAGCAATAAAAAATTTCGTTAATAGTTTCCTTAACTTTACGGCTTGCGTATAATTTGCATCGAAAATTTATATTTAATAAATTAAATTCTTTAACCAACTATCATTTAATTTACATTTGATATAATAACAGTATTCAATTGTTGATCTAGATCAGTGGTTCCCAAACTTATTTTGTCTACTGCCCACTTTGAGAAAAAATATTTTTTTAGCGCCCCCATATTTTCACATTTTTAAAAACCACTATAACTTTAAAATAAATAAATTAATTGTTTTGACCTATATATGTAGGTATATTAACGGAGAATTCTAAACGAAACTTTTACTATAACCTGCAACTTGAGACCTGTAGCGCCCACAAATGGGCGTTATCGCCCACTTTGGGAAAGACTGGTCTAGATAATAATTGCGTGACCTCATTGAGATCTGCAGCATGTCAATGTGTGTTCTGTCTGCATCTGAAGTCGAACACAAACATTTGCGGCTGTGATTTCCTTCGCCATTTAGTGTAATGGATTTACATAATGTCTGCGCCGAACTTGACACCTAGCCGAGCGGCGCGGGGGCGACGTCACTCAACTTCAAGCACTCACTCTTTCATTCAATTCACTCTCGCAATTCTCGCACTCAAGCGCACACATGTCGCACTACTAATGTACTTCTTCTAATTAAACGCGAATCTAAGATATTTCCAACAGTTTTTTATTTTCTTGTTCTGTACTGAACAAAATGGCGACCGTGACAGGACCTGCAAAAGCCAGAAACAACAATTTCGAAGTTGCAACCATTTTGCCGAGCGAAGGACAAACAAAGGTCATCGACACGTGCATCCGTCCAGCCTTCTACACCTTCTTGGAGGACTACAAAGGGCTGTGACTACATCGGAGCCCGTGCAACTAGACTTCCTCACGCCGGTCTACGTTTCAAGCAACATCCCGAAGGAGCCTCACGCCTACGTGGAAGACAGCCAGCATCGCCTATTGGAACTGCTTTCTTTTTGTTGCTTCCTGCCTTTCTCAAGTGAGCCCGTTCCTTTTCTACTTTCCTAATTGCCTTTTGCTTTGATTTGCAAACAAATATTTTGGCTTTTCAGCGTTTAAATGATTAAAAAATTTCGCTAATTACGCTTATATCTAGCTATAGTGAGTGCCTAATTATTGAAAAAATTTAAATTATCTAATTGCTATTATATTCATCTATCATCAAAGTTGAAAGTCATCCCACGTGCGCATTTCTTTGTGATTCATTCATTCATTCTATAACCGCTAAAATCACGCTTGCATTGCGTGGCATGGTATTTGCCTTTATTTATATTGCTCTTCGCTGCTTATTAGCTTATTTCATTTAATTTAGCTTGAAAACAAATTAGTTTTGCCCATTTTTGCATATATTCATACAAACCCATCTTTGATCAAATATACAAACGCGCTTTTACCGCTAAGGAGCATCATATTTCTAAGTTAATTCTAAAATTGTTTCAATCGTTTTATAAAATCAATTCCAGCCATTATCGGCGCATCGGACAAGCAACAGTCGACTCGCGTGACGTCACCCTTTGTCTACGTGTATGCAGCTACCTGTGCTCTTCACTCCAGTGACAAATCGTGCGTCTGCGGATAGTCGCGCGAGGCTGCGGCTGACTACGAAGCGAGGAGCGTATCGTATGCAATTTTAACCTACATTCTACTTTTAATACATTTATTAGTTTTTTATTTATTTCATCGCAATGTCTACAGAAACCGAATCTAGAGAACTTAAGGTTCTCAATATTAAACGTAGCAATATAAAAGGACGTTTAACTAAATTTAAGAACTTTATCGATAATTTAAAAACTTTAGAATCTATTTCAGATGTAGAATTAACTGAGCTTGCGATGAAATTATCTAGAATTGAAGCTTTGTTTATCGAGTTCGAAGAGTTGCAAAACCAAATAGAATTTTTAAACATTACAAATCAAGAAATTGAATTGACTACTCGCGATATTTTTGAACAAGACTTTGATCACTACATTTCTCTTGCTCAAAATATGATTAAAACGTATTCAACTTCCAAGTCAGCTAATTGTGAAATTCATTCAAGTTCTTCAAACCATTCTAATAATTCGTGTCAACATAATGATAATTATGAAACGCTTGGGTTTAAATTGCCTATAATAAAAATACCCAGTTTCGATGGAACATATTTCAAGTGGTTGGAATTTAAAGAAACATTTAGTTCTTTAGTTCATGAAAATTCTAAAATTAAAAATATTCACAAATTTCACTATCTTAATTCTTACTTGGAAGGTGAAGCCGCCCGTGTCATTAGTAATTTAGAAGTTTCAGATCAAAATTATTTACAAGCCTGGCAACTCTTATGTGAACGCTTTGATAACAAAAGACAATTGATCAACAATCATTTAAAATCACTTTTTAATTTTGAATACGTCCGTGAGACTGACAAGTTTCGTTCACTCCGTTTCATCACTGATCACATTACTAAAAACTTGCGCGCCCTCAGTACACTGGGCCTGCCTACTGACAAGTGGGACGTTTTAATAATTTATATAGTTACAGCAAAATTAGACAGCGCCACATCCTTTAAATGGGAGGAACATAGAAATAATTTGTCCGATATTCCAACACTTAGTGACTTCTTTACATTCCTAAGAAAACGTGCTGATATTTTAGAGATTGTCCATCGCAATAAACAAGACAAACATAATAAAATTAAATATACAAATTCTTCTGCACCTAACAATAGGATGCAAACTAAGTCTTTTGTAGTTACTTCTAAGGACGCTGTTTCTAATTCTAATAAAACCTTCGAGTGTGCACATTGTAAGGGTAACCATCGCCTATACGAATGTTATTCATTTAAGGCCAAGTCACCAGAAGATAGGAACTCAATAGTAGCATCATTGAAATTATGTAAAAATTGTTTAAGGTCAGGTCATGTTGCTGACAACTGCAAGCTTCCAGGTTCTTGTCGATCTTGTAAAAAACGTCATAATTCACTTTTACATATTATTAAAGAATGTGAAAATTCTAGCAATAGCGTTCTGCCTGATCAATCGGTAGTAATGTCCGTCTTGTCTTCTACTGAGGTGTTGTTGTGTACAGCCAAGGTTTTAGTATCTAATCCCATAACTAACAAATCTATTACAGTGCGAGCTTTACTTGACTGCGGGAGTCAGTCTTCTTTTATAACCGAGTCGGTCCAACAAAAATTAAACTTGACGCCTCAACCTTCAAACGTTAATATACTTGGTATTGGTAATGCTCAAGTTAACCTAAATACGAAAAGATGCATTTTACGATTACAATCCAATAATAGTTCTTTCAACGTAACAATGAGTTGTTTAGTTCTACCTATAATATCCAGCAATTTGCCAAAGATATCTTTTGATTACAACGACATAAATTTACCTAAACTTGAATTAGCGGATCCTAGTTTTAACGAACCATCCCCTATTGATATGCTCATTGGCGCTGACTTATTCTGGGACCTGATAGGCTCAGAGCAGCGCCGTCTAGGGGACCAAACCAAAACCCCTAACCTACGTAGCTCTAAACTTGGTTGGCTCGTTGCTGGCCCCCTACCTAATTTACCTAAAAATTCTACACCAAATAATTTATCAATATGTAACTTCTGTCTAAAGGATGACAATTTTCCTAATAATTTATCTATAGATCAACATGAAAACTATAATTTTGAAAAGGCCTTGTCAAGATTTTGGGAATTAGAAGGTTTTCCGCACAACAAGCCCTTAACACAAGAGGAAAAACTATGCGAACAGCATTTCCTTTCCACTACTACGCGTTTAAGTGACGGTCGATTTTGCGTCAGTTTACCACTCCGTGATGACCGAGACTGTTTAGGTGATTCTTATCAACTAGCCAAAAAACGGTTTTCAAATTTAGAAGCGCGGTTTAGAAGGCAACCAGAGCTTAAAAAAGCCTATTCTGATTTCATACGCGAGTATGCCGAGCTTGGTCACTTAAATGAATCTAAAATACCTAAACCTATTAATTCATTCTTTCTTCCCCATCATCCTGTAATCAGAGAAAAGAGCGAGTCAACTAAATTACGTGTCGTGTTCGATGCATCGGCTCGTTCTACGTCAGGTTTATCAGTGAATGACTTACAAATGATAGGGCCTACAATACAAGATTCACTTTTTAATATTTTAATTCGCTTCCGCCAATATAAATATATATTATCGGGCGATATAGAAAAAATGTATCGTCAGGTTAGCTTAAGAGAGTCAGATCGTGACCTACAACTTATTCTATGGCGGAAAAACGAAAATGACCCTTTACGTACTTTACGTTTAAATACGGTGACATACGGTTTTTCCAGTGCGAGTTTCTTAAGTACTAGATGCATCTGGCAGTTGGGCGAGGAATGTGACGACGACAAAATAAAAAATATAATACAACAGGATTTTTACTGTGACGATTTGCTTACAGGATCTGACTCCGTCGCGGAGCTTCGTCACATTCAGCGTGCTGTGTCAGATGAACTGACAAAAGGTTGTTTTCATCTAAGAAAATACCGTTCTAACGTTCCCGAGTTGTTTATGTCCGATTCGATAAATCCAGAAGAAGGTAACTTAATTATTAGTAATTCTACAAGCACTCTGGGTATCGGTTGGTCTCCTTCTTCAGATGAATTAAATTTTCAAGTTAATTTTTCCCCGCCTGAGAACATTACTAAAAGATCAATTCTATCTACTACATTTAAAATATTTGACCCTCTTGGATTGCTATCCCTATGTACAATAAAACCAAAAATTCTTATTCAAAAACTATGGCTTCTTAAAATAGGCTGGGATGACGAGATCCCTCAAGATATTCTAGCTACTTGGCTTAAATTTTCTAACCAACTGCACTATATTTCATCTCTCAAAGGATCAAGACTAGTTTTAATCCAAAATTCTAAAATAGTTGAAATGCATTGTTTTTGCGATGCTTCTCAGCAAGCCTACGGAGCCTGTATTTATATTAAATCTATTGACTCAAATAATAAAGTTCAAGTTAATTTAATAACCGCCAAGGCACGAGTTTCCCCCTTAAAGGCGACTACAATTCCAAGATTAGAACTATGTGCTGCGTTACTCGGAGCACAACTCAGCAATTCAGTTACTAAGGCTTTGCGTCGTTCTGTCGATCGACATATATACTGGACGGACTCAAGCGTGGTCTTAGGCTGGTTAAGGTCACCTAACAAAACTAAAACTTTCGTTGCCAACAGAGTTGCTGCTATAGGAGAACTTACTCAATTGTCGCAATGGCGTCACGTTCCTACCAACGAAAATCCCGCTGATCTCGCGTCTCGAGGTGTAGATCCACGAAATATAGTAAGCTGTCATCTTTGGTGGCATGGCCCTTCCTTTCTTTTGCAACCCGATCATCTATGGCCTCAAGAAATTTCACCCGTTTTCGATTTGCCAGAGTTGAAGACGGTTTCTACTTTGTCAGCGGAAATAATAACGACATCTCCTGTGATAGATTTTAAAAGATTTTCCAAATTTCGTACCTTACAACGAACTTATGCAAGAGTTATTAGATTTTTACACAACTGCCGTAATCCTAAAAATAAACTAACTGGCTGTCTGGACGTGGATGAGCTCAATAAATCCCTACAGTTCATTATCACCCAAGCTCAGAACGAATCCTTTTCTAATGAAATTATTAGGTTAAAGTCTAAAAATCTCTTTCAACAAAGTCATCTCTCTCTTCCTTAAACCCTTTTCTTGACTCGGATGGACTGCTTCGAGCAGGAGGTAGAATCGATTCTTCCGCCTATTCTTACGACAAACGTCACCCTATTATTCTAAAGTCTGACCATTTATTGACAAAACTTTTATTTCAAAATGAACACGAGCGTCTTTTACACGCTGGACCCCAACAAGTTCTAGCTTCAATTAGAGACCGCTATTGGCCTCTTGGTGGCCGTAACTTGGCAAGAAAGGTAACTCGTAACTGTCTAGTTTGTCGTCGTTTCAAAGGTACGACGATGAGTAACATAATGGGCGATATGCCTAACGAAAGAGTTGAGCCAGACTTTCCATTTAATACCGTTGGTACTGATTTCGCTGGACCGTTCTTGATCAGTGATCGAAAGGGCCGCGGATGTAAAATAACTAAATGTTATTTGTGTATTTTTATATGCTTTCGTTACAAATGCGTTCACTTGGAAGCCGTCAGCGAATTAAGTAAGGATGCTTTTATTTTAACACTAAAACGATTTATAGCTCGCAGAGGTTTACCTAAACTAATTTACTGTGACAACGGTAGGAATTTCGTTGCCGCGTCTAAAGAAATTTCATCTTTTTTACAGTCAAATATTAACACTATTTATGATTATGCAGCTCTTCGAGGTATCGATTTTAAATTCTCACCTGCATACGCTCCTCACTTCAATGGTTTAGCCGAGGCTGGAGTAAAATCCGCTAAATTTCACATTCGTAGGGTCTTAGGAAATAGTCATTTAACCTTTGAGGAGCTGACTTCTTTGTTTGCTCAAATCGAGGCTATCCTAAACAGCCGACCCTTGTGTCCCCTCAGTCCCTCGCCTAATGATTTCCAACCTCTCACCCCGGCACACTTTTTGATTGGCAGGCCGCTTACTTCGCTACCGTCACCAAGCTTCCTGGACTGCAACGCCAATCGACTCAGCAGGTTTCAGCACTTAGAGCAAATAAGGCAACACTTCTGGAAACGTTGGACTAACGAATACATTGCGGAACTACAACAACGTTCGAAGTGGCGCGCTGAATCAAGACATTTGAAGATCGACGATCTTGTCCTTGTAAAGGAGGACAATGCACCTCCATTATGTTGGCGCCTCGGTCGAGTCAACAAGTTGTATCCTGGTCCTGATGATGTCCCTCGTGTCGCTGACGTCGTCACTTCTCAAGGGACCGTGCGAAGGGCACTCAACAAACTATGCTTTCTACCCTCCTCGGAAGAAGACCTGTCTTGAAGGCTATCGCCTTCAAGGCCCCGGAGGATGTCTGCGCCGAACTTGACACCTAGCCGAGCGGCGCGGGGGCGACGTCACTCAACTTCAAGCACTCACTCTTTCATTCAATTCACTCTCGCAATTCTCGCACTCAAGCGCACACATGTCGCACTACTAATGTACTTCTTCTAATTAAACGCGAATCTAAGATATTTCCAACAGTTTTTTATTTTCTTGTTCTGTACTGAACACATAAAACTTGTCTAAATAAATATTGCTAGTGTAACGAATGAATTGAAACATCGCGGATAACAACGCCTTAAAAAATAAATAGAAATAATAAAGACGACCCAATCTCTAATCGGAAATTTTATGATCTAAATTAAACACTGATTTTTATGAACGTTCAATATAAAAATGAATAAGAAACACTTATGTAATTGAACATAAATAAGTACTTACATTAGTTAACAAGTCTAAAAATAATATACTAAAAAAACATTTTAACGCATTTAATAGAAACACATGGGTTCCATCAATGTAATCAAATATACGAGTATAAGAATTTATTCTGTTCTGAAAAGGGCAGTAAAAACAACATAACATCAACTAGCAAGATAAGTTTTTTTTATTGTTTGTCGTAATACAAATAAAACATTTAACATCACCAGTATTTCGAGAAATCATGTTCTTCTGTCAACTGGACCTATCGTAAGATATGTTTGTATGGTTTGAGGAAATAACCACGAAATGAGAGGGCCAATCCTATTTGCGTCAGCGTTTGTAATGTAAATCTCCCTCGTTTTACCTTTCACATTACTTTGTTTGTGTTTCGCCCTGGGGGCAACAAACATGACAGACTGTTCACCAAATACACACATATAAATTAATAATGATAAAATTTTTATGACGTAATAAATACAAATATAAGGAATATGTCATAACAATACAACTCAGTACTCAGAGGGTAGACAGAGATCGCTATTTAGTGCGTGAGACACCATTTTTGAATACATTTATACATCCTCGTCTCCTTCACAAACGCTCAATATCGACCATTCTTTCTTTATAGCAAAAGATAGCAAACGAGTAAACGGCAACTAGAATTCGCCAAAATAGCGAATTTATCGTTGCCGAAAGACATCTACATTTTCAGATGCTTTGATTACGTTTAATCGACAGTGAAGGGAATGCACAGAAAGAGGATATTTGTCCTAACGGTGCGTCCCCTCTTCTGTCAAAGTCCCCTCCCCTTCCCACGCCTTATAAGAAAAGTATTTGTAGTATTCCACCGGTCGATCTGGCACTTTCGTGCAAAACGCCATTTCGCGCTCTACCACTGTTAAACCATCTTAATCATTTAATCAATTTCGAAACAAGAATTAAACTGTAAAACAAATGAACTGAATTAAATAAAAATCTAAGAGCCTTGTTTCGTTGTTGAGGCGCTTTACTAATCTTACTTATGTTATAAATGCGAACATTTAGATGGGTGGATGTTGGTTAGAAGGCACCTTCGGAACGGATTTTTGGCACACATGTAGAACGTAGTCTGGAAGAACACATAGGCGACAACTAATATACACAAAAACTACAAGCAAACAAAAAACTAAAACGTGTTACATTATGTTGAATATAAGTCCCATGTGTATTCAATTCACGATAAAATACAAACAAACGTCCAGGACAAGACAATATAATTAAATCGATCAGACACCCCCAAATAAAATAAACTCGAATCTCACCAAAGCCCCATAAAATCTCTTACGACAATAAAACGACCAAATAGGAATTCATTTGTGAAAGAAAATGCTTTTCTTTTCTCTAAATTGGTTTTCGCGTTAAGGAAATACAGTTAGCTAATGGAGTAATAAGATTTAAGTTCACCTTAAGTTTGCACCTTCGGATAAATAAAGTACTTCTAATGTTTTAATGTATCTAATCCGACAATTCATTTACGAACACTTACCAGTGTTACTTCAAAGGGTCTGTTCATACAAACATTTAAACCCATTAATGCTCACTAAGTAGGAAAAAAGCTATTTATTTACTGTTTGAATAACTCTAAAATGTATTTCCTATCGATACATCTTCACTGGCGAAGCACTAGAACTAAACTATATGATTGTTTGAATTTCAACTCTTTTAGTCCGCCGCCCGCGATTCCTTCCGCGCGGAATTTTAAAAATTAATTAATAGTCTATGTGTTCTTCTAGACTATGTTCTACATCTATGACACATTTCAGCGAGATTCATGTAGCTGATCTAAGGATACCTTCAAACAAACATCCATCCAACCAAACATTTGCATTTATAATATTAATAAGAATAGTATAACTCTACAAATAAAATAATTTCATTTCGACTCGAGTCAATAACTCCATTAAAACTTTGAAATAAATTATATACCTCAAAAATTGCTTTAAAAGAAATTTTATAAGAGCACCTTGAGATTGATAAAAAGAAAGTTATAAAAACAAAAATTCGACAGAACAAACGTTCCCATATTTCGTACGTTAGAACTTTTCCTTTCAGTAAAATAAAGAATGTTGATTGAAATTTCTTCTTATTTTGTATTACATTAAAAAAATGGAAACAAAGAATTCAAACGAATTCTTACGTACTGTTAAGTTAAATTAAATGTGTATGCCTCTAACAATAAACTGTGCAAAAAATAATTAAATTATTTTGATTATCAAAAATCAAAGAGACAGAGAGAATCCTAAAAAATTTTTACATATTTTAAAGTCAAACATTAAAAGATAAATAAAGTTTCTTTAAAATACAAATTCATGTCCAAAAGTCCGTAATCAAAAGAGAATCAAAGAAGTTTTGTATTAAGAATATTCGGCACATCATCACTCAAAGACCTACTTCAATATTCTCCTTTAACAAAGTAATTAACCAAGTTTGCTCTACTGACTACGTTGGTAGCATAAGGTTAACATTATATTTTGAAAATAAACTCACTGGCAAAGTTAATAAATGTTATATTACAAGATATAAAACAATCCAAAGACTACAGGAACGGTGAATAAACTATATAACACTAGCTATCGCCCGCGACTCTGTCCGCGCGTAATTAACGTAATAAATTTTCAGATTAATAATTGAGATAACTAAACTACAGATGTTTACAAAATTTGATAAGATTTGTTCAGTAGTTTCGGAGTTTATCGTGAACATACATCGTGACACGAAAAATTTATTTATATAATATAGTGCTTGTAAAATATCGCTTTAGAGGAGCTATGCTCTTAGTATTGTCTTACTACTCTTCCTAAACGATCTCTACTGGTGTAAGACAAGCTTACGTTTTAATTCAAGTACGCAGTGAAATTTCAAGGTCACTCAGTAGTTTTTGAGTTTGTCATGTACAAGTTAATGTTCTATCTTCCAATACGTTTCAGGTCACGTTATTGAGACCCCGACATGCGCAGAACTAACAATGTTAGTTTCGAGCTGAACTAAGTTACGTTACTAACTTCTGCGACATCGAACTTTGAAGACAAAGTTTTGCAAAAACAAAAGCAGTTGACCGCTCTGACGAAATATCATACAGGCTGTAGACAGCAATTAGTGTGTACAACTTCAAAGTTGTAAGTCTAGAGGTCTAATCAAATTTTTCACACTACAACTCAAAGAAGACGTCACTGATCGATTGCCACTTCAACATACAGATTTTAAGTATTGACTACTTCTTTTTCTATTAAAAAAATGAATTTGTTTCCAATTATATGACTTTGTGAAACTTAGAACATATTATATATATATATTATACTGGACAACATGTATCATTCAATATCAACGGTCCAGTAAAAAGTACCTGTTGGTTAAAAATATTCATAATCACCACCTGGATGACTGGCATTCTGATTCTGATGGCAGAAATTTCCTGCCCCGCACAAACGTGTTGTGGAATGGTCTGTCTGTATTCCTCTAGTGTTGTAGATGTCCAAAGGCATTTTTTTTTTTAAAAAATACGTAGGGATTGAGAAATTTGTTAGTAGAAGATGAAATGTAGTTTTAAAAATGCCGGTCTATCTTTTCGAGTACGTTTATTTCAAACCTTGTAAATAAACCGCAATAGTAATTTCAAGTCTAATAACGACCTTACAAAATGCTCGTTTCATGTAGACATTTCCAGTATGACTAATTCCGCGTCGTCTGGTCACCGTCTCTAATATATTCTTCTCTCTTTCACTCTTATATAAAATGTGAACAAATTTATCATTGGAATACGTACTACAGACGAGGCATTACAAAATGTTTCATCTCATCGCAGCTGCTTTTCGTTTGAGCTTCGCAATTTCGGCCGCATTATGTCTAAACGGGTGCTTACGGCTATCACAGTGGCGCCCTCTCACTTTTGATCTTTCCTTTGATTATTTTTATTTGACTTAAATCATACACGAAAAATGTTTTCATATCAAATTTCAAATATGGTAAACAAATGTAGAGTTTGAAGGGCTAGAATTTTGTTCACTAATTTCGACCATGGATTTAGCAGGGAAGGGGACGCACAGAAACCTTGATAAGGCATCTACAGCTTTTTCCAGATACTTATGAACATCGGTCAGTTCGCTATATTAGCAAAATCAGTTTTTCTGATCATATTTCCCTACGCTGCTAGCTCTGAATCTTTATCTTATCATCTTACCGCAGGTTTCTAAGACCAAAATGTTTAAAATCTCTGCTTTGTCAAAGATAATGACAGAGATGTCGATATATTTTATACAGTCTTTGATCTGAAGTTATAGTTACATATAAAATGGTATTAACACTAGATCTATTATTGTCACGTAGTTGATAATTAAGTTAACGCGCCCTTTGTAACTTATTTACGTCGCGTAGTTCACACCCAAAACAAGGTCAGCATGATAAGATTATTTCCCAACATAGTCAAATTATACAATGTTAAACAACGTATACTTACAGATTTTTTTGTTGTATTAAAATATTAGAACATTTTTATAATTTTAGTAATATTTCTTGTACCATAACAACTAAGCTAGACTTGT